GTTCTAGATGTCGGTTTTAGTGACCTGGCAAATGGAAAGTTGCTGGTGTGTGAAAAAGACGTCCCTAGAATAGTTGGATTTGAAATGTTTTGGCCGCACATGAACAGGTAACATCCCCTTAAAATTCCTGCCTTCCAGCTTTCCTCGTTTCCGAGTTAACAATTTCCCCGCCAAAACTTTCACATGCTCGTACGTGAGATGCAGACGTACGAGACATCTGTTATCACTCTCCTGGAGTCGCAGTTGGCCATTGGCAAAATTTCAGCTTCAAAACATGCACGGTTGCTGGGTACAAATACCTGAGCAGATGAACACACACACACACACACACACACACACACACACACATACACACACACACACAGACAGGGCCGATGCAATACGCGTTTTTGCTGCCTGCTCTACTGCTCCAGTGCTGCACGGCAAAAACGCATAAAAAGAAATAATCAAAGTCGAAGTCAAAACCTTCTCCGTGTCTGTTTCGTATGAATCTGGAAGTAAAGCTGGTAGCAAAACCAGGTAATGCGTGTTATAATTTAGTTAAAAAGTTGCAAATTCTCGAATGAATATACAACGACTCACCATCTTCGGCAAAATTAGGACGCACGCGGCGCATCGGTGTTGCTTTGCCTTCTGAAACAAACCAGGCGTGAACCATAATTACTGGAAATACGACAGTCCAATCGAGTTATTTACATTATTAGTACCAAAAAAACAATGCAGTGTTACAAGGTTACCCCAGAATGCCCTCTCCTCTCGACAATCTTAATAAATAGCAACGCGCACTAGACTATCCGGTGCGATCATGCGTTTTGTGCAATTCAGCCCACCGAACGATTGTCTATTGATGATTTTCACTGCTTTGTATTTTAGTCTATGCAAAAATAGTTCAAAAATTGGAAAACAGTTAAAAATTTCACGCACCAGCGCATGAAAGCTGAATTCGAAACCCTGAAGGGTGAATATCTTTCTGTGATTCCCGAGTTAATAATTTAACCGCCAAAATCCTCACGAGACCGCAGGTGATACTCAACAGCGAAAGAACGCTGAATTTGAATGGGCAAGGTTGAGCGTGGACAGGGGGTCATTACCCTAAAATTCCAGCCTCCTAAATTCCGTGGCTCCTGAGATATTAATTTACCCGTAAAAAAATTTCACGAGGCCGTACGTGTTACCCGCGGGTGCGGTAAGGCTGAATTTAAATTTGCCGCTTCACCCGTTCGCGGGGAACATTATACTAAAATTTCAGCCACCTAGCTTTTGTGGTTCCCGAGCTGAAAGTGCGGGATAAAATGTGGGACACACACACAGACAACCCCGTGACAATATGCGTTTTGTAACGCTGTTACACAGCACAAAACGCAAAATAATAAGTAGCCCAAACCATCGCAGTGAAGCGTTTGAGCACTAAATCATGTTGAAATAGAAAGGGAAGAAGGGGCCATTGAGGTCCGACCAAGAAGTGGTCATTCCAAATAGAAATGTTAGGGTTGTCTTTGCCATCTTTGCTTTAATGCTACCGATCCTTGGTTCCACTGATAGTATCTACGTGAGACAAATCGAACGCGAGATTGTCTTCTTTCTTGTGCATATCCCAACAATTTGTCCACCCGTCTTCGTGAAGGCATCTGATACTAAAGAGTGTCGGGGAGTCAAAAGCGTCTGTTTGTAAATAGAACTCAAAAGAGAGAGCCATCGATATCCTTGCCTGTGGATGATCGGTGCGGCCAAGTGCTATACTCGGAGCACTTCTGTGCATTCCCGTCCTCACTGAGGTAAATTACAGAAAAGTTCTAACTATGATTTGACAAAATGCTGTCAAGCAACACTAGACAAACATAAAAAATATTGCTTGTTTTTTAAAAAGCATAATAAAAAAAAAGCAAAGCACGAAATTTTAATATACCAAGAATACGAGACTGGTAGGGCCATCAGTGTGAGTGTCCCTTGCTATGCGTTTTGTGCTGCGTAACAGTAGTACAAAAACGCATATTGTCACGGGGTTGTATGTGTGTGTGTGTGTGTGTGTGTGTGTGTCCGCGGCAACTTGTCCGCAACTTCCAATTCGGGAACCACAGAAGCTAGGAAGCTGAAAATTTAGGGGAATGTTCCCCACCGACGTGCGACCGCGCTAATTTAAATTTAGCCCCCTGTACCCGCGGGTAACACGTACAACTCCATAAAAGTTTTAGCAAGGAAAATTATTATCTTGGAAACTAAGGAAGCTAGAAAGCTAAAATTTTACCGGTATGTCCGCCACCCAAGTGCAACCCAAAAAACTTAAATCCAGCCTTCCCGTGCCAGCGGGTAACACGCATGGCTCTGTAAAACTTCTGGCGGGTAAATTATTATCTCGGGAACCATACAGTCAAGGAAGCTGCAATTTTAGGGTGATGACCTCTGCCCATGTACGACTTCGCAAATTCAAATTCAGCGTTCCCACGCTCTCGGAGAGAACCTAGGAAGCGAAAATTTTAGCGTAACGTCCTCTGCTCACGTACGATTCCGCAAATTCTTATCGTACCCTTGAAAATTTTGGTGGGAAAAATCATTATCTCGGGAGCCAGAATAGCTATGAGGCTGAAAATTCTAGGATTATGTTTTCTGCTTAAGAAAGAGCTTCACAAACTCGAATTCAGCTCCTAAGTATGCCAAGGACTCAATTGCGATCACGTGAAATTAATGTCGCTAAAACTATTCCAGAGCGGAAAATCAAGAGGTTGAAATTTTGAGAGGATACCCACTCCTCGAATTTTCAAATTCAGCTTTCACGTGCCGTCGCGTAAAGTTTTCAGTGGGAAATCCCGCAACATTTGAACTATTTTTACACAGGCCAAAGTATAAAGCAGTAAAAATCAATCGTTCGGTGGACGGAATTACAAAAAACGCATGTCCACACCGGCTGTCTTGGTGTGCTTCGCTATTTATTTGTGATGTTACTATGGTGAAATTTTAACATGAAAAAAATTTAAAATATAAGCAATTTAAAGTGTCTGTTTTAAATTCTCATAATCGGCAAACACCTCGTTTTTGGCCAGCTGGTGATGAGCAACGAAAACACCAAGGATTCATTTGAAACAGCTGAAATAATAGACCAACAGGTTTGTACGCAGGCCATGTGTAAGGTGTTATTTTATGGTGCAAACTGTCTTTATCTTTTAGATGTAGTGGGGTGATATTTTTCGATGCAGCCTCTGTTTCATCCCTTAGCTGTAAACACAGACCGGACCACGCATGCGAATAGGAGTGGGAATCATCAGTACAGCCTCCTACCCGCCATGTATTGAAAGGACATGTAACTAATTTGCTAGAAGGATGAGTGAAGGGAAAAGATAGCGAGAGTAAGGAGAGGAAATATTTAATATCATGAAACCTCGTTAACTGCCTCTGCATTGGAAATACATTAACCCAATAATCCCTTTATCACCTCGGGAATATGAAATGTCAGGGTTGCCAATATGTTGAAAACGATGCAACGCATTCGTTGAAGCAATTGGAGAAAGTTGCCAAGGT